TGGTCGAGTCACAAAATTTTGAATTTATAATGTCGTCCGGATCTTGAACGGGTCACCAGTCACTCCCGTTCTACCGGTGTGACAAGAACAACCTTTTATATATTTAAGTAAATGTGGAATGAAATCTGAAAGTGAATTGGTTTTATTTGAATAGTGGATATGACCATTAAATAAGTAAATAAAATATTTTTACATTTTGTATTTGCATTTGAGCATTTCAGTTAACCTCAAAAACTGTCAAAATATGAACTGATATCATTTACATAAAATACAGTAGGTATATAGTTATCAGGTAGGCTCTGTAATTCTCTCCCTAGGTTAATAATGAACCACTTTTCTACCTGAAAATCCGTCAATAAAGTTAGCTTCTAAAGCTAGTAGTGAAAAAAAACTATTTTTACTTTTCTACATAGTCTCTATGTAGCTCAATTTATTTATTCCATTGGTGCTGATGTGTAGGCTGATTTGTCAAATTCTTCAAAATAGGCGTTTGTGGCAGCAATCACGTCTAAATCCGAGGAATTTTTTTTAACAAGAAATGTTTTCAAATTCGTAAACAAATGGAAATCTGATGGAGTCAAATCTGATAAATAAGGTGCAGAAACCAGATTGAAAAGCCTAACTGATGAATTTTGCCATGACAATAGAATTTTCTTTTTGTCCAAACTGGGACGTTTCTCGTGAATATTTTGGTTCAACTGGTCGAGTAAGTTGGCGTAATACTCAGAATTTATTGTTTTTCCTTGAGATAGTCTTTGAAAATAATACCTTTGGCATCCCAAAAAAATGCCATATCCTTTCCTGCCAATGGAACTGCCTTTATCTTCTTCGGAATCGGTTCGTCCCTAGCTATCCATTGTTTCTGTCTCCGGCGTATAGTGGTGGATCCACTCACAGAAGAAGCGAGAGAATTCTGATGGGACGAAGACTGCCAAACTGCCCTTGAAACATTAAAGATGCATTTAACAACAGCACCAATACTAGGCTACCCACTACCAGAGGGAGAATTTATTCTGGATACTGATGCTAGTAATGTGGGAATTGGAGGAGTGCTTTCACAGATCCAAGATGGGAAAGAAAGAGTACTGGGTTATTTTAGTAAAATGCTCTCGAAACCAGAGCGAAATTACAGCGTCACAAGAAGATAACTCCTGGCAATTATGAAATGTGTGGAACACTTTTACCAATACCTGTATGGAAGGAAATTTCTAATTCGGACCGATCATGCAGCTCTTAAGAGGCTGATGCAGTTTAAGAACCCAGACGGCCAAATCGCCAGATAGATTGAACCACTTCAAGGGTACGACTTTAAGATCGAACATAGAGCCGGAATAAGTCACAGAAATGCCAATTCTCTTTCTAGATAACCGTGCCCAGTAGAGTGCTCTCACGAAATTACGGCGTCACAAGAAGATAATTCCTGGCAATTATGAAATATGTGAAAAACTTTTACCAATACCTATATGGAAGGAAATTTCTAATCCGGACCGATCATGCAGCTCTTAAGTGGCTGATGCAGTTTAAGAACCCGGACGACTTCAAGGGTACGACTTTAAGGTCAAACATAGAGCCAGAATAAGTCATAGAAATGCCGATTCTCTTTCTAGATAACCGTGCCCAGCAGAGTGCTCTCACTGCAACAGAGCAGAATTCAAAGTGGACTACTAAGAACTGTAGTCAACGATGAGTGGACTCGTGCCTAACTTAGGGAAGAACAAGAGAACAATCCGGTTTTAAAGATGCGACAATGGAAAGAGGAAAATCGCCGAGCTACTTTTGGTAAGAAGTATCAAATCTCTCTCTAGTAGTCAAGTCTAATTGGGTCAGTGGACTCTTTTATCCCGAAAGAAGGTTTATTAAAGCAAATAATAGATAATGATGATGGTTCCGAAAACAGAAGGCAGTTGGTGAAGATTATGTGATTTAGCTACGAAGAAATCTCGGCGACATGCATGAATTATTTGAATAAGGATAATTTCCTGACCGTATCAGAATTTTATATGAATAAAAATTTCCTTGGTTTAATCGGTCGTTGTTTTTATTTTCAATCGTTTAGCATAGCACTACATATGTTTCGGAAATTTATTTTTTCATCTTCAGGTGCTGTCAAAATTTAAAAAATAAAAAAAAAACACAAGGGAACGATTACAAACAGTTTAAAAATTTTTAAAATAACAGAACCACATCTTTCTCTTTCAGCGTGTGAAGGTGTATTCGAATACACCTGCAGTAATTTAATTTGCAGAACGTAGTACAAGTTAAAGAGGTAGACATTTTATTTATACCTCATCCTTCAATGCTTATTACTTGTAGTTAAAATGAAAATTTTAATTCATCTGATCGGCTTAATAAAAGTTAGTTGCAAGCACAAGTACGCATAAACGACCTAGTGGACAAAAAGCATTATCTTTAGAAGAAAAAATAGCGTACTTAATGTATTTAATAATCTTCGAAAAGACTTTGTTTCACTTTCTGTGGATGAAATAGCCACTAAATGTGAGACCTATAATACTGGAGTATCTAAGCGGACAGTGTATAACTTTATTAAAGAAGAAGAAGAAGAAGAAGAAGAAGAAGAAGAAGAAGAAGAAGAAGAAGAAGAAGAAGAAGAAGAAGAAGATTGGAGAAGTCTCACATCCGAAAAAGCCCCTAAGAAGAAACTAAACCTTTATTGAAACTTGGGTAAAGAATGTAATAAAGCAAATGGTACATTCTTTTTTCTTTCGAAATAAAATTCCTACACTTAATCACACTTAGAAATAGAAAATAGCCTCACTCTTCCAAATATATATATTTTCATCTGCAAAAAATATTACATGAATTAAATTTTCGTTAAAAAAAAACGTGATAGAAACAGCTTTTTAACAGGGAAAGACGAAATCATTGCATGGAGATATGATTATTTAAGGAAAATAGCAGACGCAAGGAATCAACATAAACAGGTATTTTATTTAGATGAAACATGAGTTAATGTTGGACAAAGACAGGCCCGACGAGAGGGGGGACAGGGGGGAGGGCAAAATCCCGGGGCCCGGTAGCTTTAATAAAATAGGATATAATTAGGGTTGCCAGACGTTCCGCTTTAGGAAAATGCCACGCTTTTTTACTTGCGTGAACGCGTCACGCCAAAGTACGAAAATGTCTTGCATTTGTACTAAATGCCACGCTTTTTACGCAAATGCCATGCTTTTTAATATTCAAAGCTGTAAATAAAGAATGTTTTGAAGAGAGAAGACCTTTTATTTAGAAATTTCACCTGATTATATAAAAATGCATGGTTTTTGAACCCTTTCGTAAATCTGCCAACCCTAGTTATAATATAGGGCCGGGCAATTGCCAGTGTTTTGCCCCGGGGCCCAACCATGGCTCTCGGCGGCCCTGGACATAGAGTAACAAAAATTTGGCAAGATACCTTCATCAAGTCTAAAAAACAAGCCATTATGGAAGGGGTCTCTTGTGGATTAAAAAATCCAACAAGACAAGGAAATTGTTTAATAATAACATTGTAAGCACCAATGGATTTTGCCAGATGGTTTATTAATGTTCCGAGTCAAAGAAAACAGAAGAAATGAATGAACATGTTTGAAAATTGGTTTCAAACCATTATAAAAAATCCAGCCAACTGCGTTATTGTTTTGGATAATGCATCCTATCACAGTCGATTAAAGATAAAAAAGAAGATATTTCAAAATGGCTTCATTCCAAAAATATTATCAGTCCTCCTAAATCCTTAAAAGCCGAGTTACTCGTAATAGCAATGCCACATAAAAACAAATTTAAAAAAATATATTATAGACGAAATGGCCCTAGGAAATCGAATTGAAAGTATCAGATTGCCTACTTACCACGCAGAGAAAACCCCATTGAACTGATCTGGTCACATTTAAAAGGTTATGTTTCTCGAAACAATACGACATTTAAATTACCTTGTGTGCGAAATTTGTTTTTGAAGGCAGTTTCAGATGTAAATGGAGAACATTGGAGAAATTGCATTGATCATGTTAAAAATGTGAAAAATTCATTTTGGAAAGCGAATATAGCAATGGAAAACTTAATAAGACAATATAATAATAAACCTCAGAAAAGACAATGATAATGATACCAGTAGTTATAGTGAAGACAGTGACTTTTAAAAATAGTTCTTGAACATTTTATTTTTTTTAATCTTTGATTTTAGGTACTGAAGTGTTACTTTTAATGTCAAGACATTAAAAAAAGTTTAATTCATTCAATGATAAAGTGCAACAATTTTGTCAGAAGCATAAGGTTTATTTTTATTTTTTGTAAATAATATGACTTTTTTTCATTCAAAATTTAATCTACGAAGTGCGTATATACCATTTTATATGCCTTGGCCTTCTTTATATTTTAGAAACTTATTTTGCAAAGTACGCCTATGGAATGTAACATTATATCCCCACTTTTACTGCACTCCTCTTTTATTCAGACTATAAATGATGCAGCTGGCTTAAAATTTGACACACGTAATTTTAAGGATGATATTTACAGTATTGGTTTGATACTAATGGCGCTATGTTTTGCCTCGACCGATTACTTTTCAACCCAGTCTCATGCTGTCGGCTTTTTTCACCAATTCTAATTGTAAGAAGACACAAGAAACTGTAGTACATGTTCAAGAAATGTTTGCTTTAGAAAATCATTGATTAAATAATTCGTTTCATTTCTTTTTTTAACTTTTCCTTTATTAACGCCCTACTTCTTTCAGACCTTCAGGGGTTCAGTCGTAAGGGGGTAAAATATAGAGTTTTATGATTGTCATGACGTAAACACAAAAAAAAAGATGAAAATGCAAAATGCGAAATTAACCAAAACTTGGAAGACTGCTTACATACATGTAAAGTTGTTATAACGATAATTATTCTATTACAAATCTAAATGTTACTCATTGTTGCCTTAGCTAGTCCCTATCAACAAACAACAGGGTTTAAGGATGGGAAAGTTACAAACGATAAAGATAAACTACTGTTTTTAAAGGATATGATCCAAGTGAAAAATTTTTAATACTTTTTGCTTTAAAAAAATCTTCATAAGTCTCTAATTTTTCTTTAACTCCTACGGCTGCTTCGATCGCATACTTTGCACTAGCATTTAATATGCTATCATCTACAGAAGTCAGATTTAATAATTCTTTCAGATTTTCCAAAAAACCCAAACACAATGTTTCTGCCCTAAGTAAAGCTTCTTCGGAACTATTTTTTATGTATTCTTGATACTTTTTCTTGATAATCTCCCATTTTTTTACTAATTGTTTATGGCAGTTATCAACAGCAGTATTTTTATATTTTTTTAAGCTTTCATGAAGCTTTTTGTTAGCTAAATCTAGATTTTCGTATGCTGGTTGTATCGTCTTTTTTTCTCTTTGAATTTGTATCTGAAAATTGTTTATTTTAATCATATGAATACTCATTAATTAATATGCAATTAGGAAGTCCAAATTATGGCAGATCTAACATGAAACCTCCAGTTCCACCAGGCTTGAACACTGGTGGACCATAATTGGAATTAATTTTTATTTCCACATTTGGACTTCTCACTTCGATGGTCGAAAGTCTATCATTTTATTAGTTTTTTTATTGTATATTCGTAAATTCAAAATATGCTCTTTTGGGAAAATCTAGTGCAAAAATATATGACAAACCACACTGTGCCATAAAGTATAAATAAAAACATTCTGAACCAGTAGCGCATCCAGAGTTTAAGTCTGGGGGGGGGGGGGGTAGTGGTAATAAAGTTTAAGCCTGTAGAGGTAGTGGTAATATTTAAGACTTTTTTTGATAATAATACATTTTAGTATCTATAAAAAGTTAGGTTTAAAAATTCTCGGGAGTAATTATCCCCATAACCCCCCCTCCCGTATATGCGCCGGTTCTGAACGTGTCGCATTTATACTTTCTTTAAATATTTACCTGTTGCATAGTGTGTAAATGACAAAAGCATTCATATAAACTTGCTGCGACTGCGGAATTTCCTATTTCCACCAGATAAACCAAGTATATACCATTTGAAAGCGACATAATATGTACGGCATGTGGGAGACATTTTGGTGTATCCTCTGGACCAGAAAGTAATACTTGATAACTTGATATTTTTTTCGAACTTGATGCGGAATCGATTTTAGCAATGGACAGACTTTCACATAAAATTATTAGAAATAAAATATCTGATGACGAGAGTTCTTTTGCGGCTTGGCTAAAAACGTAATGGTTATTTAATTTTGAATTAAACAACTGATACGAGGGTATATGAAATATAAACGGGATTGTTTGGATTAAAAATTCCTGAGCGGTTATTGATCTGGAAAAAAATAATGGGCAGTTAGCCTTTACCTCTGGGGAGGGGAGAAAACTGATCAAAATTCGCTCGCATCTCTTTGGTATGCAAAGAAACCATGAGCGAGAAAGAAGTGCATGTCTTCGTGGAGCAACGGATTATAATAAAGTTTTTGGCAAAGGAGGGCATAAAACCAATCGACGATTGGGGATAACACTGTCAAGAACCCGTGTGTTTGCATGGCACCAAGAATTTACTGGAGGGCCTGAAAATTTACAGCAGAGACGCGATTGTCAGACGGAAAGGTAATGGCAACAGTGTTTTTTGATCGGCTAGGTATTTTTCACGTTGACTTTCTACACGATCCACGCACGATTAATGTACAATATTGCTGAGTTACTTAAAGCCGCAAAATTGTCATTTCGAAGAAAAAGGAAGAAGCAATGGTCAGAAATGTCATTCTTTTGCATGACAACGCCAGACCTCATGCAGCTAATGTCACGAGGGAAAAATTGGAAACAGTTGAATGGGAAATACTGGAACATCCTCCCTATAGTCCAGACCTTTCCTCTTGTGACTTCCATCCTTTTGGAACCCTCAAAAAATAGCTTGAAGGCCAGCGTTTCGACGATAACGAAGCGGTGAAAGCATTTGTGCTCCAATGGCTACAGGAACGTCCGAAGAGTTCCTAAGATGCTGGGTTAAATAAGCAACCAATCCGATGGGAAAAATATATATCTAGGGCGGAATGTATGTAGAAATATAATGTATGTGTGAAAACTTATTTAAATAAAGCGTAAAAAATTTACAAAAGAAATCCCGTTTATATTTGATACACCCTCGTAAATCTCTTATATCAATAGTAAGTGGCAGTCGTGAGTTGAATTTCCATTTAATTTGCTAACCTAGCCAATAAAAACAGAAAGAATTTACATTTACTGTCTAAATGGCAACATTATAAACCAGTTACAAATTCACTTGACTGCAAGTTCGAGATAAACACTGTAAAATTTACAAAAACATGATTTAATAAATTGTTCGAGTAGATGTCATGTACACTGATAATTCTAAAGCATTCAACAGCGTCAGTCACAGTTTGTATCTAAGAAACTCATTAAATGTCCGAATTAATATTGGCCACTAGAATATTGCAGTTAAGTGTAGTCCCCAACATCCAACCATTATTAAAAAAGTTCAGATTGCAAAATACTACCTATTTTCAAAAAACTTGAAGGTGAAACACAGCCCGATTCTATTTTTATAAAAAATCCTGTATGGGAAAATTGACATTACAGACGGGGATGGTGAAAACTTAAATACAAACTGGTTACATGACGGGAGGGTGGCAGGCCTAAAACCCAACCATAGTAAAATATATAACAAAAGGTCTAAAAAACCTCGTGCATGTATCTTATACAACTGTAGGATAAACTGTGTACAAATACCGATGTTTTGCACCACTGATATTATTACAGCTCTCCTAACTACGCCGAGAGATGCTGCGTTTGAATATTCACATCCAATGCATTTTTTACATCTCGTGCGTTTGTTTACCCACATCGGACACATCTACTACATCTGCATTTGTTTATCCGAGATGTAGCTGTCCAGATTACATTTTTTACATCTCGATTTGAAATGAGATGTGAATGAGATGTTCGTTCCATGCCAGAGAGAGTAGCCTTTGTTTATGCTAGCGGGAATATAAAGGTGATTAGTTTGTTTAATTTTTGTTTAGATTTCAAATTTAGGTTGATTTCTAGTCTCAAAGGTCAAACGGAAAAAGTATAAACTTCTAACTTGTTATTGTCATTTTTACTACGTCTAGAACGTTTGTTAATTACATCTACATTTAAATCTAATCCTCTATCGCGTGATAAAAAATTCACAACATCTCAAATGCATCCGATGTGGATATTCAAATGCAGCAAAAGATAGAAACAAAAAGATGGATAGTCTGTTCCGCATATTTCCCAAGCGACGAGCTATGTCCCCCGCATATAATAGGCGAAATAGTCTCATATGCGGCAAGAGCTAACCTACAACTCATCATAGGATGCGATACGATGCCCACCATACCATTTGGGGAAGCACATCATACAAGAGGTGAGTCTTTATTAAAATTCATCTTATCTCAAGGTTTAGTAATTGCTAATATAGATAACGAACCAACTTTCGTCACAGCGACGAGAAAATAAGTCCTAGACATGACTCTGTGTTCGAGTAAAGCAAGAAGTGATAACATTTCAAAGTGGCATGTGTCAGACGAACCATCCGTTATCAGACCATAGACAGCTTAGATTTGATCTAATTACCCCACTTCGAATTTCAACCAAACACAGAAACCCTAGAGAGACGAACTGGGAAAGGTATTCAACATCACTTGGAGAGTATCTCGAAGAGGATATGGTAGAAATAACAGATGAACAAAGCCTTGACCGAGCAGTAGACCAAGTAAAGCCATTATAACCACTTACGAGGAAAACTGTCCGAAGAAAACAAGACAGCAAAGAACAAAAACAGTCTGGTGGAACAGACACTTATACGCCTTATAGGTGAAGTGCGAAGGCTATTTAATAAAAGCCAAATCAAACAAAGACTGGGCCTTATATAGGGCCAAACTCACTCAGTACAACAAGGAGATAAGAAAGGCTAAAAGACAATCGTGTAGGAACTTCTGTGAGGAGTTATCTGAAACACCCACATGCTCCAGAATACACAAAGTTCTAGCTAAAAAGGGTACTACAAACCAGGTAGGATTTCTCAGGAAAGATGATGAAACCTATACAAAACCCTTCGGGTAACGTTAATAATGCTCACAGAAGAGGTTAGCTACAGAAATATTAAGGACGAAAAAAATTAGACGGCCTACGAACAAATTTCAACCATACAAATGCCCAGGAGTAGATGGAATATATCCCATTCTACTACAAAAGGGGCAGAAAACTTTAATTCCACACATGTGTCGCATATTTAAATGTATATCCTGGCAACATATATCAAAGGCGTGGCAAAAGGTGAAAGTCATATACCTTCCAAAAGGGAAGGTTTAATGATATCACACCAGTCGTATCGCCCAATTAGTCTATCGTCATTCATGCTAAAAACGATAGAAAGACTAATAGATAGATATATACGAGACGAAATACCGAGAGGAAATCCTCTCAGCGACCGTCAATATACTCAACCAAGAAAGTCAACCGATTTGGCCCTGAATGATATCAACAGGTTATTGTCTATAAATCTATAAATAACGCACTAGCAATGAAAGGGGTACCAGTAGTCCTGTGTCAGTGGATAAAAGCCAGCCTAGAAAAAAGGGTAATTGCATCATATCTAAGAGAAGCTAAAGCAGGCAGGGGCTGTCCCAAGGAGGAGTACCATCACCCCTCCTCTGGTCAGTCCTAGTGGACGAACTCATAAGAGGCAAGTTCGCAGGTACAATATCGGGACACGGACAAACCGCTCTAAACATCGTTGACGAGTGGTACAGAGAGAAGGAATTAACAACAGTAAACCCTCACAAAACCACAATAGTCAACTTCACAAAACGAAAAGTACTGACAGGACTAAAGTCACCAGTACTGAAAGGAGTGAAGATTCCATTTACACAAGAGGCCAAATAATTGGAAGTCATCTTTGACCACAGGTTAACATGGAATCAACACTTACAAAAAGTCACCCAAAAGAGCACAACATCCTTCAACTTATTTCGAAGGTTGTGTGGAAAAAATTGGGGACTACAACCAAAAATGTCTCTATGGCTATATATCAGTCATAAGGCCGATGATAACCTACGGATCACTGGTATGGTGGCCAAAGACTCGGCAAGCTGGAGCCATTCGACAGCTCAATAATATTGAAAGGCAAGAATGCCTGAGTACCACGGGAGCAGTGTTGCCAGTCTAGTACAATTGTACTAGTTCTAGTACATTCTCTGAGAATCTGGTACTCTAGTACACTCGAAACAAAATCTAGTACTTTTTTCAGTGTATGTTTCCATTTGATGTGTAAAATATATTGGTCAAAAATTGCAAGAGAAATTAAAATAGTTGTTACAAGTTACTTCAGAGATAAAATAGTAGACATTCCTCGAGAGATAAAACATTGTTTAAAAATTACACGAGAGATCAAATATTGTTCAAAAATGGCTTGAGAGGTAAAAAAGGGTGTTAAAAATTAGTCGAAGTATAAGATAGTATTAGAAATTGCTTGAGGGGTAAAATATTGTTCAAAAATTGCTCTAGGGATAAAAATACTGTTAGAAATTTAATGAGAGATAAAAATATTTAATAATTTATCGAGAGATTAAATAGTATTATAAATTGTTAAAATCGTGTTCAAAAATTGCTAGAGGTAAAATAGTATTACAAAATGTTAAGCCCTTAAAATTGCTCGAGGGATAAAATACTATTGAAAAATTTGTTGAGAAATAAAATATTGTTCAAAATTGACTCAAGAGATGCCTACTATTAGAAATTTCTCGAGAGATAAAACATTGTTTAAATTTTGCAGTTTGCTAGAGATAAAAAAGTTGTTAAAAATTTCTCGAGAGTTAGAATAATGTTAGAAATTTATCGAAAGATAAAATATTGTTTAAATATAGCTCAAGAGATAAAAAAAAGGTTTAAAAACTGTTCGAGAGATAAAATAGTATCATAAGTTATTAAAATCTTATTCAAAAATTACTCGATAATTAAGAAATACTGTTAAACATTTCTCGAGAGATAAAACAATGTTTAAACATTGTTAGAAAGATAAAAAATGTTAATAAAAATTGCTCGAGAGATAAAATAGTATTAGAAATTGTTAAAATTTTGTTCAAAAATTGCACGAGATCAAATATTGTTCAAAAATAGCTTGAAAGGTAAAAAAGCTGTTAAAAATTGCTCAAGTTATTAAATAGTGTTAAAAATTATACAAAAAATTTTGTACAAACATTTCTCGAGAGATAAAAAGTTGTTAAACATTGCTCGAGAGATAGAATACTATTAGAAATTTGTTTAAAATTGTTTAAAAACTGTTCGAAAGATAAAATATTATCTAAAGGTGTTAAATCTTTTTCAAAAATTACTCGAGAGATAAAATAGTCTTAGAAATTGTTAAAATTTTGCTCAAAAATTGAACAAGACATCAAATATTGTTCAAAAATAGCTTGAAAGGTAAAAAAAGGCTGTTAAAAATTGCTCGAGTAATTAAATAGTGTTAAAAATTGTACAAAAATTGCTCGAGAGATAGAAAAAAGTTGTTAAAAATTGCTCGAGATATAGAATACTGTTAGAAATTTATCGAGAGATAAAATATTGTTTAAAAATAGCTCAAGAGATAAAAATAAATTTAAAAACTGTTCGAAAGATAAAAGAGTATCAGAAGGTATTAAAATTTTATTCAAAAACTACTCGAGAAATAAAATAGTGTCAGAAATTTGTCGAGAGATAAAATTTTGTTTAAAATTGTTGTGTTCGTATTCTCTATAAACCTTTTTTTGCTCTTTAATGAGCATAATTAGAAAAATCTGGTAATTTTATAGAATCTAGTACATTTTTTTGAAATCTGGTACATTTTTTAAATAAATCTGGTACATTACAAAAATATATTTTGGCAACACTGCACGGGAGCCATGAGAACGACTCCAAGAGCAGCTATAAAAGTCATGCTAAACCCAACACGACTACGTATATTCATTCAAGACGAAGCGAGGTCCGTCACATGCAGACTGCACAAAGGTCCATCACCCATAAGTAGTTTGCATGGACGTGACTACAGCGAGCTACTATATAAATAGTTGGAAAACGACCAAATAATCGGAATCCCTTCAGACGAAATGTTCCCAAAGTATAGCTTTAAAAGTAATATAAAATAAGTATACCAGTCAGGGAGGCGTGGAGGAGAGGACCCCCCTATTCAGGTATATATAGTACCAAGCCAAAGACAAGAATCTCACTGAGCTTAGGTAAACATGCGACAGTATTCCAGGCAGAAGTAGCAGCAATACAGCACTGCGCAAAAGAGTAATTAAGACAGAAGTAAAATGGAAAAACCATTGTCATATACGTTAAAAGCACTCAGTTTTATGCAGGTACACTCAACGCTTGTGTGGGACTGTTTGGAAGCCTTAACAGAGATAGGTAGTCAAAACAGACTAACATTAGCCTGGGTATCAGGCAACAGAGGACATAAGGGTAACGAAGAGACTGATTAACTAGCCCGAGAAGGAGCCTCAAAGGTTCTTGTTGGCCCAGAACCCTTCTGTGATGTCACAAAGACAACTAACAGAACATGCAAAAACAAAGGATGTTTAAAAAAACCTCAGGAATGATAGAAAAATTCGCCACAACAGGCTTAACAAACATGTATAATATCCGGTTTGACAGAAGAGACCTTGTGCTGATTCTTTCAGAGAAGAGGAGGAAACTGCAAAACACGTATTTTGCTACTGCGAAGATCTGAGATTCCTTACACTTAGAGAAGAAAACCCAAGGGCAACTAGCTACGCCGGAGAACTACTTCCTAGTCTAAGAAGTTTACTACAAAACACCGAATTAGACAAGGCACTCTAAACAACGATTAAAGGATATCCACAATAGATCTGAAAAGGTCGAGGTAGGGGAGGCCACATGGCCCACAGTCCTAATTAAATATAATCTAAATATAAACTAAACAAAGTTGCAAGTGGCTTTTCAAGCATGTTCATGAACTGGGGAAGTTTTATTGTGTTTTCTCTAAATTTTTCCTAATCCTATTAAATTTAACCTGGTACTATTTAGAAGTTTGTGTATCAATAAACAATTTTTTGTATCTTTGTAGATAATATTCTACAAATTTTACATCAGTTGCTTTTTAAAATGTAAATTTTTGTCACTATCTGGAAAATCAGACAATTTGGATAGGACAAGAAATCAGGAAAATTGTGCAAACAAGATTACTGTTTTCTGCAAGATTCAATTTTTATGTCGGAAAATGCTTTATAAACAAACAGAAGAAGTCGGGTATAAACTTTAAAAGTTAGTCAATTTGTCAATCAACATTTGATGACCACCCTTAGTATTAAATGTTAAAATTGTAGCTGGATGTCGTTTAGATACTCTTTTCTTATGGGAAAGGTGGTTCCAGTGACACCTCATTGGAGGTATGTTTATGCTTAATGTTGGAAGTCATTACCAATTACCAGAAAACCGAAATCTTCAAAGGGAGCAAAACTGGCGCTCATTTGGTGCATTTGGCTTTGCTTCTCGGATATATCTTTTACTTCTTAACTGTTTGTCATTACACCTCGAATACTTCTATATTTGCGTTTGTTGAACATTTTTACTTCTGGATATGAAATAAGAGACGATAAATTTGAAGAGTGGGGATTTTCAAATCTGTCCTAATTTATGTTTAGGTTAACCTATTTTTTAAAAAGAAACTTATCATTTTATTTCATCGAGCTCTTCTGTTTGGAAATATATTTTAAACAAGATGCTGTTTAAATACTAAACGATTCGGTGGTTATAACAATTAAAAGCAAGGAAAACATTAATATTTAAAAAAATTAATGATGGTGACTTTGAAAAAGTGTTCATTCTCTTTCAAAATATCACCATCTTCTTCATCACTATCAAGTAGTATTTCAACTGCTTCAGAAACAACTTGAATTAGTTCCATATAATATTAAAATAAAAAGAATAACTATCATAAATAATAATAATAATAATAATAATCCGAGAAGTAATGCCAAAAGCAGCAATTAATTAATTAAAAAAATGTGTGTATCTCAAAAAGCAGAAAATGCTGTGACTATCAAATAATCCTATATTTACTTTTTTTGAATTTTAATAATCCATGTAACCAAAAGAATTAAAAATACTGAAATATCTGCAGTAGTCCAGATTTTCAATTAAAAAAAAATTACTAAAAAAATCATTAGAAATAAAAGTAAAATATTTACACATAGATTCACTCTAAATTTTTATGGTAATGTCTTACCTAGAATATAAAGATAATATTTTATTTTGTACCAGAATAAGAGCATGCATTTTTTTACACTCTATATGAACTAATACTTTTTCTACTGATTCTCTTAATATACAAAGTGTAGTGGAACTAAGTTCTGGATTTATAAAAAGTTGCTCAACTGCCTCCACATGAACTGACTGATCATGTGAAATCAAATTTGACCAACTGTCTATGAGTTTATTTGCTAAAATTGATTTTTCATCACAGGCCTTCAATCTAAAAAAAAAAAATTTATTTGGTATGATTTAAGCATTTGTTACCAAGGTTGGAAAAATCTAAGAGTTAAAAAAAATAAGTAGGTTTTTAAGGTTTCATAGGTTTTTAGTTCATATGTCAAACGTTATTAATAAAGTTAAACAAAAAATACAAATAAAACTTGAAAAATAGAATTTTATTATATTAAAAAATCACATTCTGCAAACAAAAAACTAAAACGTGAAAACTAAATAAATGGTATTTGATTTTTTAAATTGTCACTATCATTACTATCAATATGTAACGGTTCGATTTTGTCTAGGCAACAGGGTATATAGTTGTGTATTTTGTGTTGACAAGCGTCTAGTACCGGGGACAACTTTGATGCAAGGAGCGAAAAAATTGATCCGTCATTTTATGAAAAGCACTGTTGCCATTTCAGCTATGTCAGCGTCATTCGTGATCGGTCATTAGCATTGCGATTGCGGTTGTTTCGTAATCTCAATAGAAAAATAAAAAGACAATTTCTTGAATTTATAAGTGTTGTAGTTTGTAAATATACAGAAATTCTTTAAATCGATGTAGTTTATAAGTTTGTGTATACCAAAAAATTTTGATCATGGAACAGAAGCAGAGCAAATTACAGTTCATTAAATTTCTAGAGGCTTTCGACGGCTAGACAGAGAAAGCACTACTGACAGGCATCCCGACGGATTTACGCAATGAAAGTACACTCTGCGCATCAAGTATTTCACTATTTCATTCAGACGTAAATGTCAGATGTAAATTTCGCTAAAACATTTCTTTTATTTTCGTTTGTGTTTTTTGCTCATTACAGTTTAATAGCACCCAAGTATGGAGTTTAATAGCAAATTAAGAGGCCGCGTGATTAACAGTCAATCTCGCGAAATAATAGCCAATGTTATAGAGTTTATGAGAAGAGAAGGAAACTTTAATTCACCTTCAATACCATTTAAAAATGTAAATGATCGTGTTGCTGCAGCCACAGGAGTATCTAAAAACACTGTCGTCCACATTTCTGGAGAGAAAAAAAGAATCGATAACCGTGAGATATCGGAATTTTCATCACCAAGAAAAACCATTAAAAAACCAAAAACAGTTAATGATATAGATGAAGCTGCACAAGAATCAAATTTTATTTTTTTATTATTAGATAGCTATTTTTGTTTCTGAGTTGTGTTCATTTACAGGCTCAATTTTTTTCCGTTTCTCCTTTTTGATTTTATATGGGGTTTCAAGTTGTTTTTGACTTATTTAGACGTAAATCACAACAACACACTTTTTTAATAAAGCAAACAAGTGTTAAGAGGTATATGTACGTGTAAACTACAATTACAAAAAATTGATATGAAACCCATGAAACCACCAACAAAAATGTAAAGCTAGCTTCCGTACTAGAACATGGTGTCATTCGTCGAGATAATTTATCGTTTTGTTTAATAGATCAAGAAATGTAAATATTCCCCTGTTATTTTTTATAAAATTATAAGAGAAATAAATTTTTTTCTAAATAGTATAGTTTATTATTTTGTAGAAAAACAAAATTTCGAAAATTTTAGTAATGTTTCAGAAACAACCGTTATTAATAATAGGTACCATTTTCCTTAATAAGGTAGAAATAAAATATAAACTATTTCCACGATTTACAAAGGCCTACAAAAAAATTATAGGTATTTTCCGCTATCCTATAAAATTTATATTTTCTGACTCAATTTCAAAAGGTTGAAGGAATTAAAAAAAAAACCTTTTATGGCATAATAATTATTTTCAATTCTACATACTATCTTTAGCTGCTTTTAAAAACGTTCTAAGAAAGTCCAATCAGACCAATTTAATCCCTAAACTATTCCACACTTTTAAAATTTAATTACCTAAAAATATTAAAAACTATTTAAAATAACTTGTTTAGCAGACTGTACAATAGCTATCTTAGTCACACGTAGCGCGTTCTCTGTCTGGGCGTCGAACACCTCTAGAAATTTGATGAACTGTACGCTGCATTAAGTGAGAGAAGTAGGGTTGCCACCTGTCCTTTTTTGAAGCAAAATGTCCTTGTTACTTTTTAAATTTGACTTCGCATTTGAAGACACACGATGCAATTGAGGACCCAACACAATTTATGTTGAAAAAATATAAATGTGCATTGTGTAATTATTTTTCGGACAAAAAACTTTATCGAATGGGAACTCAACATAAAACTAACATTTTACAAATTAATTATTTTTTTAGATTAACCTAGTTTTTAAAAATGTATCGCTCCTTTGTAAATATAAATGAATAAATAGTGGATTATCTAAAAATAAGAATTTTGATAATTTAAAATATCAATGAAGCTTCTGCTTACAAATAAATAACCCCTTGTACAGTGTGACAGATTTCTGGATTTGTTTGGGGACTCGGACACTCCCAGAGAGAAATGTTTTAATGGTCTTTGTATTGAAGATTATTGTATTTTAAATATTTTGTATTTGTGTAATTTTAATATTCAAATTGTTTCTGTGCAATTGTGTGTCAATTTTAATTTCGTTTGTCTAGTTTTAATTTTGTAAATTGTATGCCTGTAGGTATTTTTGAAATAAAATTAAAAAAATTGCACTGGAAAATACGTTTGTTAATTTTTAACCTATACCACCTACAACTCGGCCATATATACCGGGTGTTCAAATTATAGGGTAAATACTTTTTTTTATAAAGAAAACGTTTCAGACGAAAGTTTTATATTTTTTTGGGGTAAACATTTTGGCTAAAATCTTTTTTTATAGCTAACCATAATATTGCGAACTTTTTTTTGCGCAGCACAATTTTTTAAAGTACGTGTTACTCAATAAGTAAAAGTCCAATAAAAAAAATGTTTCCTTTAAAAGTTTCTTATTTTTTATGAACTTTAAGAATATGTAAAAAATGGGGTTCCCATTTGAAATAAAAAAAGTCCACCTCGATACGGCCATATTATGGTCAGCTATAAAAAAAATAATTTTACCAAAATGTTTCCCCCAGAAAACAATAAAACTTTTGTCTGAAACTTCTTTTTATAAAATGCATATTTTCGGCGGTATTAAACTGTAACACTTTAATTTAAACACCCGGTATAATTACATACATATATCGGGTGTCCAAATAAAGGCTTTGAGATACAGCCGATATCTTATAGAATTTTGTGTAAAAAATTTTAATGTAAAAGTAGTCAACAAAACTGACCACTTTTGTTTAAAAGTAATCTCGGATCTGTAGGATAGGCGGTTCATAGCTGGTGTCATTACTTATTTGGACAACCATAACAAAAAATAGTCTCCAATCCCCATACGCTAATTTTCACGAAAAAAATGTTCCGCTATAATGCTACAAAAAATGTAAATTTCATGTTTAAATAATTTATTTCTCGCTGTGCATAACATTTTGTATTTACATTTCATGTTTTTAGTTTCTAACATTCATGACTACCGATTTGCGATTTATCATTGTGCATTATAAATTTCGTACAACTTGGCAATACTGCGGATCAATTTTTATTCCTGTATCAAAGTTGTCTCTGGTTCTAGACGCTTGTTTTTGTGTTGTGGCCTCGTTTAATAAAAAATTATTAAAACGTGCACAGAATAGGTAATTTTGCAACAGTATTTACGAGAAAGTGTGTGAAAAGTTGTCTAATGAAGTTAAAGGTTAATGTCAAACGTGGATTCAAAATTTATTCCCAAAAAAATTGTTGTAATATTGTAATATTTTCAAATGTAATTAATACTTGTTTTCTTCGTTTTCAGTTTGAAAAAGAAAACAAAATTAATTATTAAATAACTGTTTTCCAATCAGTCAGTTACAAAATTGCATTTCAGATACAGACAATAATCAAAGGCACAAATATATCCTTTCTGAACATGTACTTCAAATGAAATCTATAAATCTACTCAAGAATATTCAGAGCACAAAGCTTTGTGATTCAGAGTATCGAGCCAAATTTGTTTGTTGACTATTTACGCGGTGATCACAGGGACTGGGTCCAGGGGGGCTATTTTCAAACACGAGAGAATTCATTTCTCTCAAGAGAAATGTCATACGTCAACGTAAAACCGTATTTTTAGGGCTCTTAGGGCCACTGTGAACTCACTGACTGTTTCTCTCGGTTTATTTAGAGAGAATTAAAATCTTCCTAAGAATTTTAATCCTCGATGCCTTTAAAAACAACATTTCCACATTGACGTATGACATTTCTGATGAGAATCTTGAGAGAAATGAGTGCTCCCATACTTTGAAAATAGCCCCCTTGTAAACGTGTTAGCATTAGTATATATCTTTGTTTTATTGGGTATATTTGTAAATATACATAAACTAACAAGTTATGAGCTCATACATTATAGGTTTAGTATTACCTTGTGAGGTTAGGTAGTTTTATAACTATGCAGTAGAATTTTAGTGTTCGGTAGGGTAGCACTGGTACGTTGTACATATTTCGGAATAATAATTGATTGAATAATGTATATGATTGTCAGGTTGATAATAATTTGCCGAACAATATAGATGCGTAACCATCTTTAAATTTAAATAAGAAGAGAGCCAACTAAACTTATTCGTTTTATTTGAACCTGTTTGCCTAGTTGTATTTATTTTACCTCCACCCTGTGTACATCCAATTTATTGTTTTGGTGGTTTTCAACGGTGGGGGGGGGTTCATGGCAAAATACACTGGCGCCTTTTAAAGAACTTTTAAATAATGGACTACGCCACCTCAAACTAGAGCTATCCGTGGTAAATATCCCAATTGTCGCTAAGGCAATTGTGGTGGACCACCTTGTAATCATACTATTTGTTGGCTACCTGTTTATTCAGAGGTAGCCGGCGAATTTTATGTTACAAATATCAAGAAGTAGTATAACCTTTGATGAAATGTTTGCAGTTATATTTAAACACACTCATTTTTGAATCATTTCTCCCGAGAATTGATTAGTAAAATTGTTAATTTCTAATATTTATCTTTAAATACCTAAAAAAACCTAAAATTGAAGAATTTTCACTTTTAGGTTTTTTAAAAAATTAAAAAAATACGTGTGGCACTCGGGGACTGCCGCGGTAAAGCTATTGCGTAGCATTTTTTATCAACTTATGCAATTATAATTATTTATTTATTTTATTTATGCAGTATTTTAAGCTATTTTTTTTTCTTTGATATTAATTCAAGTTACACTTTTTGAGCGTGGTGACCGATAAGAAAACAATTTTTTTTCTTTTATTGAATAAATGAGAAGTTAATATTGTTTAAAATATTTTTATTATCTTACAATACATGTAGGTTATTCAGGAATTTTTATCATTGAAACTATAGGTTTAGGGTAACTCAAATAAGAAACATAAGTTTGAGACTTGATATCCTTTAAATATCTGGAAAATACCGCGTCAATGGTGGTCCCATATTTTGTTGTGGATTCTTGTGGATCATTATTCATTTTCAAATTCAATTTTTCCGAAATTGTGTCTAAAAGAGATAGAATCAGTTATGAGCAGTTAGCAGATAGTCTACACACATACGTCTAGTCGCACGCACACAAACACCGTGCCGAAGTCTGCCGAACTGAAACGACGTTAGACGATGCACGGCTTTCAACGCCGCCCCGCTGTCGGTCGAAGGGGGGGTGTTAGGTTTATTTTCGTTACGGAATTTCTTTTTCGATTTTACGATTTTACGAATTTTCGATTTTTCGAATTTTCAAATTTTCGATTTTTCAATTTTTCGAGGGTGTTAGGTTTATTTTCGTTACGGAAGTTCTTGATTCGGTCGCCGCGCTCAAAGCCCGCGATAAAATCTATGCAATAGCTTAATAATGAAATAGTTAACACTGATAAAATAAAAATTAATATTTTTTAAATCTTGCAAAAAAAATTAATATCTAATATTTACGCCAGCCGGGAACATTTGTGATACCAATTTATTAGAAGCCAGAGAAAGCTCTTCTAGTTCTTGTATTGCATAAACGTTCCAGTCCGCAGACGTATATTTAACTCTGCTTCATACTAATACGAATAGGGTCGGATAAAATCTTCCACGCTTTCAACGCTGCACCGCTGTGCCGGTCAGAGTGGGGGGGGTGTTGCCCGCGATAAAAGCTATGCAATAGCTTAAAAACCTAGGTGCAAAAAACCTGTATCTGCCAACCCTGGTGTTACCAAGATTGTATTACTATTTTTCAGTGATAGTTACCATTAAAGGTAAAGTAAATGAAGTATAAAAATAGTGATAGATAAGTTTAAAGTTCGAATCATTCCTAGTACAATTTTTCTTTTTCAATGAACGTGTTTTCACTTTGGAGCTTCAAAAATAATTTCTATTATTTTGTAGGGGTGTTTGAAAAATTTATTTATTTTCAAAAAATATATATATATATTATAAAGATAGATGCAAAATTATACACTTACTGATAAACATCTGGACCACACAAGTATCGGACAACTGTTACACAAATATTTGTAAACCATTTCATAAATTCATCTTTTTCTTTAGCTATTGTCACAAATAAATATCCCATGTACTGAAATAGAAATACGACAGAATGTTAAATAGTACAGAGTACATTAGTACAGAGTCAAAAAAATTGTTATTATTCTGGATCGTAAAAAAATCATAATTAACCTGTAGCAAAATTCAAGTTTGATGAGAATTTTGTTGAATATTTAACACGATAATACATCAACCAATGAAAATCATCTTGTATTCCAACACACGCCAATCAAACCAAACTATATCTGAAAACATTGTATGGTGTCACGATTCGTAGACTGACTGAAACGGTGGCCTCATCAGGTTGCTTGGGGGTTGTGACGTCACAGAATGAAAAATCGATGTAACAGAAAATATTCTGGCGCGATTCATAAATTTGTTTTTTAAAAAATCTAATATTTGATTATTTAGTGGTGTTTATATTTTTGGACTATTTTCCAGTGTTAGAGTTTTATAATATCGGTAGTTTGATTTTTTGAGGAATGATTTTCAAAAAATTTAAAATGAATTACTTTTTATTTGGGGTTAGGTTAGGGTATGGCCTCCAAGCCGAACTCGGACTACATTTTGTTTATATTATAAAATAATTTGAAATTTTAGCATGCCTGGAGCGAGCTGTAGTGTTGCTGTTTGCACACACAATTTTTAAAAACAAAAATCATCAGAATAATGGATATTATTTTTCCCTTTCCCAAAAGGCGACCATTTACAAAAACATATGGGTGCAATGTTTTAGAAACTATCAGGTCAATGTTAAAACTATTTAGAAAATATGCAATGTTCTTTTTTCAATAATGTATGTTCTTTTAGTAAATCCCTTTGACTTTTATTGCTCTTGGTTGTGTTTAATGCTTGTAAGAAACCATCTCATCTGTTTTTAAATGTAGGGGGGCCAAAGTTGCAATTAATTCATTAATTATGAATGATAACTGCAGAATAATATTCTAAAACCTTAACCATTAGCCTTTAATTTCAGTTTAGGTTCAGTCCATTTCTTCTGTTTCTTTTTTTTGTAAAAATTGTTTGCAAATAGCAACACTAAAGCATGCTAAAATTTCAAATTATTTCAGAGTATAAACAAAATGTGGTCCGAGTTCGACTCGGAGGCCGTATCCTAAATCAACATTTTTAAAATAAATCATTCACACAATATTTCTCTTTATAATTAAAATAAAAAGTAATTCACTTGAAATTTTAATGAAATCATTACATGACCTTTCCTTCTCAGTGCTAACTGCATAGACTGTACCCTTGCCAATTGAGCGCGTCCCCGGGTGGTGGATAGGAGAACGGCCAGGATTTTGCTGATTAGTGGTAGACATAAGTAGAGTGAGAGAGCTTAAAAACTCTGAAAATCTTTTGCAAAGGCTGCCACCGCGAATCAACTCACCCAATCTAAGGTGTAAAGTAACGTGCCGACGGATGAATTGTCGCAGGGGTAAAAGCGGCAGCCTACGTTCCTCTGAGGATACCCTCTTGTATCTAGCCTTGCCGGCGCATGCTGGGCTCTGCGTCGATCGACCCTTTTTTAACTAGCTACTCGTGGGAAACTTATGGATCCAAACCCACACAAATCCAAGGAGACTGGACGTCAACACTCACCTCCAGCAACAGAGGCTGGTCGTCAACAGCAAAGGAGGTTGGACAGCAAAATTCAACTCCAGTATAGGAGGCTGGACAGCGACATCCACCTCAAAAATACGAGGATGGGCAGGGCATCGCTGTTCACCTCAAACCGACAGGCACCAGAGAGGCAAGATGATCTCTGCTTCTGAAGCTGAGAGGAGGAAGAAGGGTAGACTGAAGGCAGACAGAGCTACGGCAACTGCCACCGGCAGGATACGCCCTCATTCCAAACCCAACCTAAGCAGCCCAATCAATGCTTTGGGTAGCGACGCTAGTTCTGCCTCCACAAGAGGCCAGGAATACGTCGCAACCAAGGACAAGAAAAAGCCACGATCAATTACAACTCTGTGGAGCCACACTAGACCACCCCACCCCTTTAGGAGAAAAGGATAGTCAAACACTAACCTCAAACGCTTCCCAAACTTCAATGACGGACCGGAAAGCAATTAAAGAGGTAAAAATTATACAATGTAACTTGCAGCAACATTATGCCGCCGCTTTGATAAGCTGCAAGATACAATATCACTCATCCAGAAAACTTGGATAATAAAATTGTAGGTCTAAAACATCTAAATGTTTTAATTTTTAGCTTTTCCAGCAACTAACAACCTAGGTCATATAGTTTGTTACGCCGATGATACAGCACTAATATTTACTGAAACAACATGGGAAAAAGCCCAAAAAATAGCGGAAACTAACTTGAAAAAAATCCATAACTGACTAAATAATAATAAGCTATCACTTAATATTAATAAAACTAAATATATTACGTTTTCCCCAACAGTAGTAGTCAACCAAACAACTTAATAATTAAATTCCACAAATCACAGTGTAATAAAGAAAAAGATTATAACTGTCAATCTATACAATAAACAAATTCACTAAAATACCTTGGAGTAATAATAGATCAGAATTTAAGATGGTCTGAGCATATTGGATATGTAACAAAAAGAATCCGAATTTTGATGCACAAATTCTATGAAATGAAATATTAACTAAAAAAATTTAATTATAGTGTACAACTCTCTGGTTGAATCAATTATTAGGTATTACATTACTGCCTGGGGCGCAATATTCAAAACAACACTCAATCCACTGCAAATATCACAAAATATAATACTAAAAATAATTTTTAAAAAAGAGGCTTTATTCCACACAAAACTTATATCAAGAAACTAATCTTTTAAATATTAGGCCAAGTTATATTTACCAATGTCTCCTAAGAATGTTTGACCAACAAATTAAATGCCCTCAACAAAACATAAAAGAAACACGTTCTAAACTGAATCTAAATGTAACAACAGATTTATTTAAAAAAACTGTTACTCAGAACTCCTTTCTTTTCTTTGGGCCGAAATTATTTAGCCTAAACATATAAAAGAAATAAAAATATATAAAACATACAAAATAGAAGTAAAAAAGTATATACTCAATTATCCTTATATATTTCTGATGTTCTCATGATAATAACAGCTGTTAAAATTTATTTAAGATAATTTAACCATAAATTAATAACTGATTCTCACCCCCCACCGAAGCTGCCATCATTACCTCTCTGAAAAAATCACAATTCAAAATGTCTTTATGCATGAAAAATAGATATAAAACACTACATAATACCCTTAAATACTGTAAACAGAGCGCCTCATAAAATTGCTTCACACAGGACAGGCAACCATGCCTAGAGTGGTAGCCATTTTATGAGACGCTAACTAATTGTAAAGTAATTGTATATAAATGTATATAAATGTATATTAAAAAAATGTTAATAAATTGAAATTGAATTGAAGGACAGCCATTTACATTCCTAGGAAATATAAAGACCACTCAATGGTACACCTTTCCACCTCCGATTTGACTGCGGTTAGGATGGAATATGACATCAAGAGGGAAAAGAAAACCTTGATTCTGGCATCTGCATACCTCCCCTCCGACGCAACCACGCCACCACCCAGCAAATGGAGGATCTGATTGAATACTGCCTGAATCAGAAGTTTGAGCTGGTAATAGGTTGCGACTCAAATGCTTATCACTTCAGTTAGCGTAGTAAGGATAACAACGCTAGAAGCAAGTCACTGTATGATTATATAATTACCAAATATCTTTGTATTTTAAATAATAGTATTACACCAACATTTTTAAACTCTTGCAATCAAAGACTAATAGATATCACTTTATCCACAACTGGTATCTATAAATCAATTCTAAACTGGCAAGTGTCTGATGACATTTCGATGTCAGACCACTGCTTGGTTAACATTCAAAATAAACTTGATGTTGCCGACATCTACGTTATCTCGAAACCCTAGAAAGACGGCCAGGGCAATCTATACTCACCTTCTCCCTACTTCAGTGGGGTCTGGAAAAACTCATCCCGCACCTGGTAGATATATCTAGATCCTCATTGGCTCTGAAGTATATTCCCAAAAATGGAGAGAGGTAAAGGTAGTATTTATACCCAAACATGTTTTCCATGAAGACATTGGAAAGGCTATGCGAAAGGTACAAAAGGGATGTGATGATTACAACACCACTACACCCAAATCAACATGCATACACCCCATTCAGATCTACTGATTCAGCCATTCACCTAAATGCTGGTCAGATAGAGAGATCACTGGACAATAAAGAGTCCGCCTTGGCTGTTTTTAGACATAGAAGGTGCTTTTGATAAGACGACCTTTTCCAAGATAATATACTCACTAAACAACAGGAATGTTCCAGAGATGATTAGTGGGTGGAGACCCAACATGCTCTTAAAGCGAGCAGTAAACATAAGTGTAGAAGATGTGAATGTAAGCGACTTGGTTGTGAGGAGATGTCCAGGGAGGGGTGCTATCACTTCTACTGTTCAACATGGTCCTAGACACCCTCATCAGCCGCCTCAATAATGAGTCACTACACAATAGCGTATGTAGATGACCTGGTCGTTTGGCAAACAGGGGATTCTGAGAAAATTCTCTGTGAAAGAATGCAAGTAGCTCTCAAAATTATAGAACAATGGTGCAAGAACCATTCACTGTCTATCAATCCCACGAAGAAAGAAATCCACAAGGAAAAGGATGAAAATGGAATTAAAACCTCCAGAAGCTAAACTTTGCAACAGAGGTGAAGTACCTAAGTCTCACCTTTGACAGAAAGTTAACATGGAATTCACACTTGGAAAACAGAGTCAAAAGAGCATGCATTGCTTATGAACAAGGCCGCCGAACCGTGGGGCGCACCTGGGGTTACTCCCCCAGAGTCGTCGCATGGACTTACATAGTCATCATAAGACCTATTATTTATTTATTTTTTTTATTTATTACAATGCTCTACAGGTAATCCCAATTACAAAGCAGGAACACATACATTATATAGGCTAAGTGGTACAAAATATACAAACATTTGTAAACAGCTAGTAGA